TTTTTTTTAATATGTAAAGGCACAATATTAATTGTATTAAGTTTGTAGGAAATGGAGAAGGCAAGGGTAAATACCTCAATCAAGACTAATTAAATGAGTTGATGATTAATTATAAGCATTCGATCCCATTGAAAATTGCCGGTCATAATATGTCCAAAGACTGTCAAATTGAATCAAACAACACTGCCACATGGGATCCACAAACTGAGGCTAAAGGCCACGTAATAGGATCCAATGCATTAGTATTGATATGATCGCATTCAAAAGTTGCATTAATTTTTTTTTTTTGAACATAAAGTTGCATTAATTTTTACAATTCTTGGGAGACTAAGATGTAATTGGAGAGCACTTTACCTTGCTCGCTTAATAGTTATAAATTATATTGTAATTGTACCTTTAATTCAAGGATTAGTTTTGAATTTTTTATTTTTTTAATTGTGATCTATTAAAAAAAAGTAGTTGGAGAAATGCTAAAGTTTATAAGAAAAGGAAAAGACATGGGACGAATAAGTTAATAACATTTTTTTTTTTTTGTGAGAAGGAATAAGTTAATAACATTTAATTAAATGAGTCGTACGCTAATTTAAAGCATTGGGTCCCATTGAAAGTTGCTCATCGAAACGTCTCCAATTGCTATCATAATAAAAAAAAACGTTGACACGTGAAACCCATGCACCAAGACTAGCCACTTGATAGTTGATACAATTCAATGTTTTTTTTTTAAAAAAAACAAAGGTAATTATTTACTATTATATTTTATATTTAATGGGGTGGGGAAGGGGGGAGTTCTGGGGATTAAATTTCAAATCTTCTACAGTATTTTCACTTAAAAATAGCATGGAAGTATGGAACGAATTTATCTATGTCATAGAGAGCATTAAATGTATTAGTGTTGGTATGATTGCATTTAAAAGTTGAATCAATTATTGGGAGACTAGCTAGGATTACATCTTCTTCTTCTTTTTTAATTTGGGGAAGGCAAAGGATAAATACATTAATAAACATTTAAGGGTTTTTTAAATTTATATATTAAGA